ACAGGAGTAGAAAGCCTCATCTTTCTCCCGCGGAGCAGCTGGTAGTTTCGAACTGCTGACCTTAAGGTTCGCAGCCCGATTTGTAACCACTACGTTATATTTGATTTGTTATCTGTTTTAAAATTTGATTTGTTATCTGTTTTAAAATGTCCTAAACGCACCAGGTCGTCCTGGTGTGACACTGTGAGTTAATGTGTTGTACTGTAGCATCAGTTTGAACTGCAAGATTGGCGGTTCAGGATCACCAGCCACTCTTTGGACACCTTCTGCAGGGTTACTGTGAGCCAGAACCAACGCAACAGCACTTAACAACAACAACAACTATAAAAACCCCAAACCAGAAATCAACGAGACTGCTCTCTTTGACAGGGAAGTGTCTGTTTATGTCTGGGCTGAGTGAGGTCCAGCTGAATCACATGGATGACCACACTTTACCAGGGAAATATGGTATTGGCTTTACCAATATGGTGGAAAGGACAACACCAGGCAGCAAGGATCTTTCCAGGTAATGACATACACTTGTTTTTAAAGTTGGAACCTTGGCGGTTCTAGTTTAAGCCAAGTTCAGCCCTTAAGGTGAATTGGTCTTTTATCGAAAGCTGCCTGAATTTAGCATCTTAACAAACATTATTGTATTTTTATTTTGATTCAATTTTAGTAAAGAATTTCGTGAAGGAGGACGTATTCTAGTGCAGAAATTACAGAAATACCAACCCCGCATAGCGGTGTTTAATGGAAAATGTAAGACTTACTTTAAAATTTGAGTTCTTTTCTTTGCGAATAAAACCATGGATACTGTAAATATGCTTACATTTCATTTTAGGTATTTATGAAATCTTTAGTAAAGAAGTCTTTGGAGTAAAGGTTAAGAACCTAGAATTTGGACTTCAACCCCATAAAATCCCAGACACAGAAACTGTAAGTCTTTAAAAATGCATTTATAATTCAGTGAAATGGAAGGTTTTTTCCCTAGTTATTTCTCCTTTCCTATTCATTGGAACTTGTGCTATAAAAAACCCACACTATTGACTAATCTATATATAATCAATTTGCGCTAATATTTTAAGATT